CGTTTGTCAATTTTTTGTTCTTATCGCATTTTGACGTTATCTGGGGTCTATTCCTGAACGGAGGCGCAGTAACATAGAATCATATATTTGGTAAAAGATAGCGAATAAAGTAAATTGCTTAACACAGTATGTTTGCAAACAGCTTAAAATAAAAGCACGAGCCTGTCTCTTTAAGTTTTGGGCGTCACGTAGATCTATACTAAAACAATTAGGTCATTCGCTCTCAATTCTATGCGTCGTCCACATCAAACACCACGCAATAGAAATATGGAGCTCATAATCTAATCTTTAAGTATGTAATGTTCAAAGGACTGAGAGGAGTACAATTCAGGGTAGAATCGGACGAGTGATTTCAAATTGACCGCGGGTGTAGCGTGAGGGTGAAAAAATTACGAGCACGACTACCTCTCCTCCATTTTAAACAAAGGGCCGATCTGAAAGCTGCTTTTTTCAAATTTCATCAATTGAATCGAAATATAACATTTCGTACCTGTTTTATTTTTCTACTTCACAAGCTTTATAATTTTTAGACTCTAACCATTTTTTTTTATCTCTGCATTAGTTGAATGGTTTAAAGACTCTAGGAGAGAACATTGCTGACAATGGCGGTTTGAAACTTGCCTACGAGGTAAGGTCTTTCGAATTTTATTTCAAAAATGCCCGAGGATCTATATCAATATCCTATCAGGAGACGATCAATCATGGCCCCAACAACTGATCCCTTGGAAGGTAGAACCGCGAGAAATTGAATAAAATCCAAGCTATAAAAACCCAAATAAATTCTTAGAGACGTTTAGTTATAAAACGAGACGCGATAGGAAAGGAGATGGTCTTCGTCCCAAACCTACCAGTGGCGTTATTAAAAAAGCAAAAATTTGTTTGACATTCAGGAGCTTCACACGACGCTGGAATAATTTTTAGATCAATGCAGTTGCACCTACAACAACTTTACCCCTCCCCCCACTAACCCAACAACAGTAATTGATAACAAGTTAGGGTTAACGTCAGGTTAAGGAGGGGTAGGTGCGCAATTGCTCAGCTACTAACATGAATCGTAACTTTATTTCCAATTCCCCCCCCTCACCCTTTCCTTAGCTCAAGATCTGGATCCGCCAATGGGTATTGCGCGCAGTCTGCTGAGGTAATCGTTTGTTTCTCAACAGGCATATCACAAGTGGTCAGATGAGCACGACCATGACAGTACGCTGCCTAAGCTTGGTCTTACCCCAAATCAACTCTTTTTCCTTTCGTTTGCCCAGGTATGATGAGTATGATGTGCAGAGATCTATCAAGCCTTGTTTTAATATTCCTAGTAATCTAAATCAAACAACACATAATTAAAAACCACACATTCTTATCCTTGTTTAGATTTGGTGCGAGAAAACCACTCCTAGTTTTGCACTGACTGATTTACAAGTGGACGTGCATAGCCCGGGAAGATTTCGGTGAGTAACGAGGGGGCCATTTGTTTCACTAAGTCGGGATGAATTAAGGTTGTGTGTTTAGGTAGTATCCTTTGTCACGGGACTTTTTCTTGCCTAGCATCCTTCATTATATCGAAGAGCTGGTGAATAAAACTCATCTTTGTATATCCTTGGTCAAAATTGATACCAACGACTGCAAATAAAAAATTCGTCTTGACGACCCCCGATGCGTGCTGGGTTGAGGAGCTTGATGTACGATTACATTGCAAAATTTGACTGTCTATTTCAAGGCGAATGTCAAGCCATTTGCTACTGACGCGCTCAAGTATCATGGCAGTTGGTGCTAGAAAGTAGAGAAAGTAGAGGAACTGTCCAAAGAACATTAGACCAAGATATTCCATTTGTGATTCATATGTAGGCCTCATTCCTGTCACGTTAATCTTACGGTTCAATATATCTTGTCCTCGTGGAACAATGTTACGTGCATCCCACTTGCTTTTTGGATACAAAATGTAACTTGGAAGAGAATGATTGATATCCGCGTGGGAGGCCCATGTGAGAGAAAATTGTCGCACGGGATTGGTTATCTCTAGTTCCTTTAAGGGTCTCCGAAAAGGATCGAGATAAAGAAATTATAACTTCGGAGCAGTTAAATTTGGAATGAGGTCCATATTGGGGTTTCGTTCTCCAAGGTTTATCCCCTCTTGTCACTCGTCAACGCTTAAATTTATGGGCTAGTCATTAGTTATTGCCCTGTGGGGGAAGATTTTTGGGGGATCGCAGGCTCTTTCAGACGCCTTCATTAACAAATAACCCACCAAACTCGGAGAATAANTTCTTATCCTTGTTTAGATTTGGTGCGAGAAAACCACTCCTAGTTTTGAATTGACTGATTTACAAGTGGACGTGCATAGCCCGGGAAGATTTCGGTGAGTAACGAGGGGGCCATTTGTTTCACTAAGTCGGGATGAATTAAGGTTGTGTGTTTAGGTAGTATCCTTTGTCACGGGACTTTTTCTTGCCTAGCATCCTTCATTATATCGAAGAGCTGGTGAATAAAACTCATCTTTGTATATCCTTGGTCAAAATTGATACCAACGACTGCAAATAAAAAATTCGTCTTGACGACCCCCGATGCGTGCTGGGTTGAGGAGCTTGATGTACGATTACATTGCAAAATTTGACTGTCTATTTCAAGGCGAATGTCAAGCCATTTGCTACTGACGCGCTCAAGTATCATGGCAGTTGGTGCTAGAAAGTAGAGAAAGTAGAGGAACTGTCCAAAGAACATTAGACCAAGATATTCCATTTGTGATTCATATGTAGGCCTCATTCCTGTCACGTTAATCTTACGGTTCAATATATCTTGTCCTCGTGGAACAATGTTACGTGCATCCCACTTGCTTTTTGGATACAAAATGTAACTTGGAAGAGAATGATTGATATCCGCGTGGGAGGCCCATGTGAGAGAAAATTGTCGCACGGGATTGGTTATCTCTAGTTCCTTTAAGGGTCTCCGAAAAGGATCGAGATAAAGAAATTATAACTTCGGAGCAGTTAAATTTGGAATGAGGTCCATATTGGGGTTTCGTTCTCCAAGGTTTATCCCCTCTTGTCACTCGTCAACGCTTAAATTTATGGGCTAGTCATTAGTTATTGCCCTGTGGGGGAAGATTTTTGGGGGATCGCATGGTTTCCAGGGGGAACAGAGGGGGGATCGGTCGTCATCAACTGAGTGTAAAGGGGGAACCATACAGAATTGACTGCCAATTAACTATCAATGAGGGGGGCAGGGGGGTCATAATAATATTACAGAACCTTGTGGGGAACCAGGTGAATTTTCTCATGACACAACTAAAATCCTCCGAACTTCCCTCCCCCGACAATAAATGATGTCCGGTCCTTAATAGTTTTCGTTTCTTGTCCATAGAGTTGATGTTACATTAAAAAACAGTCAAGCTTTTGCCAAGGCCTATGGATGTCAAGTGGGAAGTCCGATGAATCCTGAAGACAAATGTGCTATTTGGTGATTTCCTACGATAAATAAAAAGAATATTGTAGTATTTTTTTTTTTTTCAAATAAGAGTATATTCCTTATTTATTTTCTTGAATGGAAATTTCTCCGACAGAAAAATCTTGCCATTTATGCATTATTAAGATTTTAAAGAAAACCGCCAAATGTATACATCTTTATTCTGTTGCTGAATTGTACACACTGAGTAAATAACAATTGATTTTATAGGGGGAGGGGTGATGTGGCAGATCTAGTTGTCTTTTAACCAAATCTGTTATTAAACAGAGTTGACGTCTGTGCATATTACGGAGAACATTTTAGTTAACATTATAAGTGAGATAAATATTAAAACGAAATGAATCGATAGATGTTCATTAACTGGGGTCAATGTCATGTAAAAATAAAACAATAACAACCTGTTTTGTTTTGCTTTGCTTGACTACTTCAACTAGTTATTAACAGTGGGCCTCTATGAGCCGGATATTGGTATGTTTAGTGACGCTCTACCTTGTAATTAGGACAAATTTGCTAAACCCATTTTAAAAGTAATCTCATCAACTATAGCCCCAAATTCTGTCCACTCTTTGAGGACAAAAATATCGGAAATCTTCATTTGAAATTTGAAGTATGTTTGTATTATTTATTGAAGTATGATACAAATCTGTCGGTATAATTGTACAAACTGTTTGATATATTGCGTCATAGCGGAATTTTAATTATGTTTTTTATCCTTTTGTGATCGTTCTTTCTGATCTCGCGGTTGGTGACATTTTTATGAAATGATTAATTGGGCATGACGTGACTTGCTTAATATATCTGTAAACTGTCTTGGCTAGATGAAAGCAGACTGACTCACGAAAGAAACAGAGATTTTAAGGTACGATGAGCAATCAGTACGACATTAATACCCCTGAAGTCGCCAATGGGGGAGAAATCAATGCCCCTGTGATCATTTTAAACGAGTTTGGAGAGAGGGGCAAGGACCGAGACGATGTGGCCAATATTCCGACAACAGCAGCGACCAGTGCAACCGCGCAGAAAAGAAAGATTTGTCTTGTTGCAAAGTTGCAGTGCCTGTTCTTTGCCATGAAAATTTTTGGATTATTTTACGAAGAATACAACACTATACGTCCAAGGAACACTGTACGTGGTCTATGGATGTGTACTTTCACAAAACGTTTGTATCAGTTGTTCGTGTTGTTGGTACTCTGGCTCAACGTGGGGAGAGTGTTTGCGTCGTTTTGGCTTGATGATAAACTGCTCAGTACCGAACATACTCAGGCAGCTGCTGGCTTGCTTTGGTCCCTGCAAACCGCTATACAAGCTTCCATCTGTGTATACACAATGCAAATCACATCAAAAAAGTCCCCTTTGAAAAGCTTGTTGTTATATTGGAATTCGCAGCCCAACTTTGACGAGTTAGTAGTAGAGCCCTTCATGGTAAAATGCGTCAGACGAACTCTGATTGTAACGTATATCTTTATGATGATAAACGCTGTGTTTTATGGCCTAGTTTTGTTTTATCCTTCAGAGTCGATGCAATATCTTGCTCGTGCATTCTTGTCCCCATTCCCGCTCGACAACCTGGCTTCAAAGATCCTTGGCTTTGTGATTTCAGCCTATTGCACAGCAGCCTGGGTGTTACCTTTTGCTATCTTCACAGCCATTTGCTTGACTTTAATACATCAATGCAGAAGTCTTAGAAAGACATTGCGCTTGACTGCCTCGGCCAGTGAGGTGAGAAGAGTCAAGATTCTAAGACAGCAACATTCATCATTATGTGGTTCTGTCAGAAAAGTCGACGACTTATTCAAATTCGTAACTCTCGTGGTTTACGTTACCAACATACCTCTGGTTTGTTTTCTTCTCTACCGCTTGATGTTTGACAAGAATAACGATGCAACGACTTATGTAATCTTGACTTTTTGGTCCCTTGTCGTGCTTCTTGCCATGATGAGCGTGTCGTTTCTTGGGGCACATTTGAACAGCAAGGTAAGGTATAATAGCTAATCGAACTCACTCAGTAAAACTGAGGGGTATGATCCCAAAAAGGAAAAAAATATGTACCAGCTTGCCTCTGGATTATGTTTAATAAGTGTAAATAAGTTAGATAACAACCATGACGATCCCTAAAAAATAAAAATATTTAAACTTTTTTTTACACCGGATAAGCTTGCCTAAAAAGTAAACCTTTCAGCTAGATCTCCAGCCTTTGTGATGGTCCTTTCTTTGTGTACTGGGTACGAGTCGAGGGGCAAAAGCCACTTCTTTTGGGTAGTCAAGGAATTTTAAATATTGTCGGAAACTTCAAGTGTTCTATTACTTTTTCTGATACCCAGTATTTTTTTTATACCAACGGCACAGCACTGTGACGTGTAGCAAAGAGACTAATTTTCATTACGCAAAAAAAGACTTACGATTGTAACGTACAATAACATACGAGGAAGTGAAAATGAAGTAAAAAAAACTATGGAAAAATACATATAAGATACGTGTGCACGATACAGGTGAACCAAATAACGAAAGCTATTCATATGATAATCACTTCTGGGAGTTCAAGAGCTACTGTTTGATTTTTCCCTCTGAATAATCTTTGTGACGTGTGCCCAAGCTGTCTGTTAGCTATAAATAATATATGCTTTTTAATATGGAATTTTTTTACAACTTTTTCATTGAAGAACCGAACAGTCATTTAATCGTAATCTGTGGAATTACTTCTGAAAACTTTAAGCAAGAAAGATAACTTAGATATTAATTTCAACTTCTTATTTAATGTCCAGATTCATTCCTTCACGGAAGTTGTGCAGAAAGTTGAAATAGCTAACGTGGACTTGGACACTCATACAGAGGTTTGTTTTCGCATTATCCTTTCCATATTACTGCGATGTTTAGCTACATTTGAAAATTATTATTATCTTCCTTTTTTAGCTGATGCTGTTTGTGGCGAAGTTAAATGGAGATCCCGTGGCAATTACAGCAGGAGGACTGGTACCCATTACAAAACCGCTGATTGTAACGGTATTGTATATATCATACTCAGACAGAGCTGTAAAACGTCTGCGCGTGTCATATAACTGCTCGAAGAAACTTGGATGAGATTTTTCCTGCACCATCGTAACTGAATCGCTGCTCCGCGGCCACTTTTACACTGGTGGTCAAGAATAAAAGTGTGATGTTTAAAAGTTGAATTTTGCATTTCTGTTATAGGTCGGTGTGCTGATAGCGTCAGTTCTTTCAATTAGCCATTCGATGTATGTCTTAAGAGTGGAAAAATTAATTTCGTTGTTTTAGAATTTTTCAAAAGTTCCACTATTTCACTTTTATCGTACCATGTTTTCCCTCCCCATTCAAGCCTCGAGCGAGCCAGTTTTCAACAAAAGACAAAAGCTTATTCTCTTAAAATTTCACTTTTTTTTTTCTTTTCAGGTAACTGGTGTGGTCATTACTTACTTCACTCTTTTATATCAGTTGGAGTGAGGCGATAAATCGATGAATTATTGTTCTCTCTCCGTTATATTCCGTTGAATGTATTTGAAAAAATAAACCGTGAATAGACCAGTGTTTGCTTATAATGGTAAATATTTGAGTCAAGGCATTACAAAATCGTGTATCCCATCGATGGACAGACACTAAAGTTACATCAATACCCGTGCCTTGGTATATTATCTTTGTGACAACCTCGTTCCCACGGTCTCTCGTCTTCCCGCCCCCTGGAGCGAGCGAGGAGAGATTAGTCCTTGCCTCAACATGCTTTTGCTGATAATTAGATGGTAATGAACTGTTGACCTGTTACGCAATCGTTTTGACAGCGATATCTTGAGTGAGCACAACACGGATTATTCTCGTAACAGAAAGCGAGCAAAGCCACCGTTTTTCAACAGTCCTCCTGCATAGGAAGAAATTGTCCTTTTCCGTCTTGTCAAATCATTGCAGTTTAGGAATTTAGCAAACAACAAAGTGCTAAACCGTTCACATTTTAACAAAGAGAATATGTAAAATAGATATCACTTTGATGAAAGACTTGATACGCAAGATTAACAAAATGATGATCACGTGCGATAGGGTAGCCTTGAAAACTTACTCTCAGGGGTAGGGCGCAATTTGTATTGGCCTAGTCATGCGCGACTCAGTCAGCGTTGTCAATATTTGCTTTTAATCTAGACTTAACCGGCTACCGAAATTACACAGCTTGACAATGACTCCAAGATGAATTAAGCTGATTAACATTGTTTTCATTTATCTTGAATCGATTCTTGTCTGTCTTAGAAATCATGTCATCGGGAAGAGTGAAGCTTGCTGCATGCGTAAGAATAGTGAATTGAGCGTTCATCAAAATTTGCATAAGGCTTGGACTATAACTTATCTCATGTTGTTCTCTTTGATGACGCATCATGTCTCAGCACGCAATAGGTGACCATGCATGATATCTGACGTGACTAGTAGCTGCTAGTATTGTGCCAAAGTGTGCGTGTAACTTTTCATAACAGATTTGAGTTTCGAAGCTTCACACAATGAACGGAGTCGATTTTTCAGACGTGTCAATCGAAAACGGCTTTAAAGAGCCGAATTCGCCCAGAATTAATCTTGAAGACATGAATAAGAGATCAAATGGAAGGAAATACGAAGCAAACCAGTCAACCAAAGAAGAGTTAAATGCTATTACGAAGATATGTATGATTGCCAAGCTACAATGTATATTCTTTCCGATGAAGTTGTTCGGTTTGTACTATCAAGATGTGAGGGGTACTTGTTCAGGAGAATTTGTCACATACGGAGGGAAATCGGCATTTTTGATGCGTTCGTATCAGTGTGTGGTGATCGCGATTCTGTGGATGAACTTCGGCAAGACGCTAGCTTCGTTCTGGGTCGGTAATGATCTAGGAGCATTAAGACTACCAGCATTACTGTGGTTTTTACAAACAGCTCTCCAAGCATCGATCTGTTTCTTTACCATGAACTTGAGATCTAAGAAGTCCGTCTTAAAAAGTTTGCTGTTGTATTGGAATTCTCAGCCAAACTTTCACGAACTTGTCATCGAGTCATACATGATGAAATGTGTGAAACGAACGTTGATGATCGCTTATTTCTTAATTGCGATGAATACAGTGCTGTATGGTCTAATTCTCTTTTCCTCGGAATCCCTTCTACCAGTGGCACAAGCTTTGGTATCACCCCTTCCTGTTACAAGCACAGCGGTCAAGATATTTTTATTCATTGTGTCCCTTTACAGTTCAGCTGCCTGGTTAATGCCTTTCGCCATTTTCTCCGCCGTCTGCCTAACTTTGATCCATCAGTGCCGCCGTCTGAGAAAGACCCTACGTTTGACTGCCTCGGCCAGTGAAGTGAGAAGGGTAAAGATCTTGAGGGGGCAGCATTCCTCGTTGTGTGGCTCTGTCAGAAAAGTCGATAACCTGTTCAAGTTCTTGACCCTGGTAGTGTATGTCACGAATATCCCGTTACTCTGCTTCCTCTTTTACAACCTGATTTTCGTCAAGACTGACAATGTCTTAACCAAAGTGACGCTGTCGTTTTGGTTTATAATCGTTGCTTGCATCATGATAGGAGTTTCCTTCCTGGGTGCACAGTTGAACAGCTGGGTAAGTGTTTCAGATTTGACCGACCTCTGTCTGCTTTGGCTGCGCTGCATGCAAGAGAAAAAAATCTATAGAGAGTTATTGATCTTTCACTACAAACGTAACAGTCGTCGTTTATCACCTGGGGTGGTTGGAAGTTTTTTTGGGGGGTATCATGGTTTTTATTGGAAAGGGAGGAGGGATCCGTCAACGCCAAAGGGGAGACTACTAATAATTAGTCTGCTAATTAACTGCCGATGTGGGGGGATCATAAGGATATTACAGAGCCTTATGAGGAATCAGGTAAATTTTATCGTTGACACCCCCCTCCCTTCCCGGTGATACCGGCGATAAATAACCAGTCCCTAATCTACTGCCAGTCGTGGAGGAGGTATGAACCTGAATTAAGAGTGAAGTCAATATACTTTAGCAACATCTCTCGCTTTGAGCTGGTGAATACATGCGGCGCTCACACGAAAAAAACCTTTCCTTGATGAAGGTCGTCGAGGATATCAACAAGTAATGTATTTGTTTTGTGTTTCTTTTGTGTACAGATTCATTCTTTTACAGAAGTTGTGCAGAAAGTTCAAATATCAAATGTCGATCTGGATACACATACAGAGGTCTGCTTTGACACGTTAATGTTGTTGTTATTTTTATCCAAAAGAGGAATACGTTACTCGTACCACATTGGAATTTATTTCTATTGTCTTCAGTGTGCTATATTGAACCGTATTTAAGAAAGCTTTCGTTTGCATTTGATTATCACTAGGGAAAATGTCACTGGAACCCATTTAGAACTGAAAATAAAGTAACAACAAACAAACTGCATGAAACGTGTAAAACGCCGGTGGCGAAGTCCCGATTGAGGAAAATTTGTATTTGATTAATTGCAATGGTGGCACGTAGCTTTTCTACCAATCAGAGAACATTGTGAAGCAAAATCAATACAGTCCTGGATCGCTTCCAAATTTCGAGTGAAAATTGTTTCACTGTTGAAAAGTCGCTAGGTTTTAAAGTCGTCCGTTTTCATCGACTGTTAATAGTTAATGAACCATGATCTGGCAGAAAGAAGTTTTTAATATCAGGTTCTTTCTTCATCTATAGTTGATGTTGTTCCTGGCGAAGTTAGGTGGAGATCCCGTGGCAATCACAGCAGGAGGACTGGTACCGATTACAAAAGCGCTGATTGTTACGGTAATGAATCGCTGAATCTTACCACCAAGACTTACCAGTACTCCTTTGATAAGTTTAATTATGCTGTTGTACATTCTAATCCCCAAGCTCTCCTTGACAAGTCTGGGTAGGAAAGTCTCGCTCACCTGGTCAATTTCGAAGCTGATTATAGGCCGTGGCGTTGCGGAGAGACTCCTGCCCAGACTTCTCAAGGACGACGATGCAAGAGTGAACGCCCAGGAAATGGTATACATCAATGATCCCCTTCACATGTCACAAATGGCCGTTATAACGTTAGGGCATAAAAGCAAGGCCTACAGTTACTTATAAATAATAGCATCAGAGTTAGCACATGAATGTGATAAAGGTAATTTTTTTTTTCAAATGTTGAACTACGTCTTTTGCTGATTTTCTTTAGGTAACTGGCGTTGTCATTACATATTTCGCCCTTCTGTATGAGCTTAGATGAAGCGTCTTCGTGTGTCCCCTGCCTGTAGAACAGACGTCTTTTCTCGCGTATTGAGGAGAGTGGAAGCGAGCGAGAAGCAGTTAGTCTTTCGTGAGATCAGTAAGCATGCAGAGATGAGAACATGGCGCCAATTTTCGTTAGTGTTTATTGTTTATGCCGCGCGCGTGGCTCGCCCTTTGCACGCTCCGGTCTCATCGCCTCGTGGTTGCCTCCACTCCTAATAAGGTTGGAAACGTTTCAAAAAGGAAGAAACAGATCAATAATCGTTAGCACCAAGCCAACTTGAAGAATGTGACTCCAACCAATCATTTCACTTCGTTTTACCAATTAAATGTGTGGACTATTTAGGTTTACTGACTAGAGTTGAGTCGTACTAAATTATCAAAATGCGATATATCGGTTAAGTTTGAGAAGCGTTTAGCAAGACTTTGATTTTTTTAAAAACAAATTGCATTCCTGTAGTGTTACATTCTTGATAATCGCGTGGCCTGAATAAGTTAATTGAATTCCGAGATAATTGACGAGTTGCCAGAGCGCATTCGTTGCAAAAAGATATTTTCCTTGTAAAATGTGTCATTTGAATAAAAATTTAAGAAAATTTACAATCTCAGTCGTTGCTTGATAACAGGGATTTCAAGTGAACAGGATATTTTATATCATTCGGATAAATTCCATATTGTTTCATCGCACTTAGTTTTAGTAACTAAAAACAACAACAACAATAGTATTAAAAGACAACAGGTTAGGAACAGTGTTTTTTTATATCTCTCCTTTAGTTGTCTACCCTTCTTTTACCTCGTTTTAAATGTACGCACCAAAAAAAGAAAGGTGCCAGAATTCAAATCAAGTCTTGAAGATTGTCGTATTCCAAGGACAGTGGCGGATCTAGGGGAGGAGCACGGGTGACCAGGCCCCCACCCTTAATTTGGTAAAAAATAAACGCAGAGGGAAGAAAAGCCGGCAGGAGAACACACACAAACAAAAACGACCCCCTCCTCTCGCTTAGCTTCAGGTCTGGATCCACCACTTGAGGAGACTATTTTGATGAAAATTTTCAGTTATGTATTGGTGGGTCAACACCTTTACACTACAAAAAACGGTATTCGCTTCTGAACGTAGCAGTGAAAATTTCGCAAAATCTAAGCTAAAACGATTGTCGGCGACGAAAGAAAAAAGCTTTTATGAATTTGCTAACGAAAACCAATTCTGGAGAAGTACATTAAAGCTTCATCAACTGAAGCTCAAAAATCACCAAACAGAGAGTCATCTTTGAGGCAGGAAAGTAAGTTCCTGAAAGTAAGAACTGAAAACTTTCCATCATTTGCTTCGCCACCTGCGTTGTTTAAAGTTTGGTATTTTTCATTTTTAGTTTCTATTTTGGATGAAGGTCTGTTGCGCATGCCAGATAGATATATACCGCTAGGAAGGAATTGGCGGGAAATCAAAACATAAAATGGCTGAGTAAGCGCGAAAGACGAACTTATGCAAATTTTGTTTTTCATAACGGCTCATTAAACAAACCACAAAGGACAGCTAAGAATAATAACAATACGAAGTCAAGCTTCTATAATTTTCTACAAAAGACTATATTCTCGTCGGCAAACCTTCTATACGTCAATAAAATTATTATGACGGCTGTTGCTTTGCGACCAAGACGATCACGAAGATTCATATAAGGTCAAATGATAAGAATGCTTTTGTGCAAATAGTTTGAATCGAACGTTAACGTGGGAAATTTGCAAATGAGTGAAATATCGCTAACGGCAGCCAGAAAATGTTGTTATTTACATTAGTATTGACTTACTAAGTGCTTATCTTCGCAAAGAAGTGGTTGTATCTGGTTTGCCTCGATGTAAGTCGTCGCTTTACAATGGCCGTCAGGAGAGGGAAATTCCGAGCTTTCTTCAAGTCCACGAAGCCCGCAGATGTAAGCTACGATGGAAAAAATTCCTTTGAAAACTCTCAAGATATTGAAATCATTGTGGAAGTGGCGGTTGGACCAAGAGGTGAGATTTTATTTTCAGAAACTTGTCCTATCAGAACACGTGATAACAAATCTAACTAAGCAAAGTGGATATTTCTGTGTTTGGCATTCATGATTTTAATAAATTCGATTAGAGTTATTGTTATTGTTGATTGAGTCCAGACAGCGTCGCGGAGACGGAACTTTCTCGACCGAACTCCGGTGCAACACGGGAGAATACGACGAGAACCCGACGTTGACCCGATAAATGATACAAGCTTTACCTCGAAGAGGACAATACATTACCCATTTATTTATGCAGTAAATGGCTTGAACCCGGGGGTAATATGTGAAGGTGTAGTCTGATCGTCCGGGTGAGTGTAGTCCTGGAAAGGACTGTTGTCGGTTGTAGTGACTGACGTTTCGACAACCTGTGCGGAAGTCATCATCAGAGTCAAGTGAATGATTGTTGTCAGTAGAATGTTCGTATTCCAGTTCGTGTAAAATGATCGGTTGGTTTTGCCGTGATGTCATTGGCTATAAGACTTAAGTGACGTAAGTCGGTCGTGATTGGTCTGTTTCGATCTGTCGGTAAAGTTAGGTCGATCTTTTTAGGTCGTTTGTGATGTTTATGTCGTGAATGAGTCGTTTGTATGGAGCTCCATACAAACGAAGAAGAAACGACCGAAAAAGAACGACCTAACTTTACCGACAGATCGAAACAGACCAATCACGAACGACTTACGTCACTTGAGTCTTACAGCCAATGACATCACGGCAAAACCAACCGATCATTTTACACGAACTGAACAACCTAACTTTACCTAAAGATCGAAACAGACCAATCCCGACCGACTTACGTCACTTGAGTCTTACAGCCAATGACATCACGACAAAACCAACCGATCATTTTACACGAACTGGAATAAGAACATTCTACTTACAACAATCATTCACTTGACTCTGATGATGACTTCAGCATGGTTGTGGAAACGTCAGTCACTACCACCGACAGCAGTCCTTCTCAGGACTACACTCACCCGGACGATCAAACTACACCTTCCTATTTATTTATGTTTGCAATGACATCCTTGGGATACTTCAGCAGTTGACTGTGCATTAAACTGTACATTTTTCGACTTGTATCAAGCCTTTTAATGGTAAATGCAATAAACTTGCCGCATTCGTTATTTAGCGACATTTATGCATGAAATCTTTTTTTTTCGATATTCTACAACAATTTGTTCGATCTCTTAAATTTTTTTAGCTTACTTATCGAATGACTATTAAAAAACTGTATATTGAAAAACTGTTCGTAATTTTTTTTGCAACAACAATCTTCAACGGAGACAAAACTTCACAGCTAGTCAGAATACTGATCGAGGCCCACAAGTTCACCATCTGGTTTTTTCTTTTTGTTGTTGTTGTTTCTGTTATTAGGAGAAATTAGCGATACAGATGTAGTTATTGCTGGTGGTAGCGATCAGCATCACATTCCAGGGAATCCTGGACTTTTCATCACCGATATAAGGCCCGGAAGCGAGGCTGACAAACTTTTGAGTCTTGGATGCCAAATAGCAAAGGTCGGTTATTTCATATGCTAATATTAGAAATTTCCAAAGCTTCGAGAATGAGAACGCTCTACGGTAGGAATGGAACGAGAATGAGGGAAGAGAGCGTGGGGAGGAGAAGAGGGTTGTGGGAGCGATTAAAGGTAACATAGTATTATAAAGAATGGTGTTTAAAAATAAACTGATAATGACCATGCGGTGACACCTGTTAGCCTGTTACTCCATATATGTTCTGATAAGTACTTTTTTTCCAGTTATAGTGTCAAAGGCAAAATAAGTATATATTTTGGTCAGTTCTTAACTACCACGTACTGTATGGCTCTATTACTGTTGCAGCATAGGACCTTTACTCCCTCTAGGTCAACTTTAAAGCTGCTTTCAGTTTTTTGCCAACCGATCAAAATCAAGAAAAAGTTAAACTGCATGAATTGCTGGTCATTAAAGCTGCAATACATTAAATCAGGCTATTAGCAGTTCTCCATGCTGAAAAAGAAAATTATATCCCTAATATACTTTTTTTCCTGGCACATTTAATGGCGATAGGCCTTCGTGACCTACGAGTTTGATTTCTTATGCTAGCAATTTAAATCAGTCTTATGCTACTCACCTAATTCCGGTCAGTTATACAACTCTTTTTCTACATGCCGGCAGGCGTGAGTGTTTCTATGCTCGCGACAAAGTTTCAGGCCTATAGCAAAGCGAGCCAGTGAGATTGAGGTCTGGCACTAGTAATTAATAGTGCCAGACCTCTTGGGGATTTCTCACCAACTCATTTTGCTCAAGGGCTTAAAAATTTTAGCGGGTGAAAAAATACTCGTGCTGGAGCGCTGACAGTGAGTGCCTGCTTGCAGGCTACTCTGAGTCCCTTTACTGTTATTGGAACAACCATGGTAATGTAGTTTTTTTAATTATGTCAGATTGATGATGTTGATGTCACAAATGTGCCCCGTCAAGTGGCTGACAGTTTGCTCGAGTTTGCTGATAAATGGGCCCAGCTACATGTCAGGATGCCGAAAGGCTTAGACGAGGTAAGCTTTAGTACAAATATTGATATGCAGTCAAACTTACAAAAATCAATTCATCAATACGTTCAATAATCAACCATTAAGGTAATCATTTGCTCAGACAGACTCCTGGATTGTGGGTCAGTCAGTTCGACAGCTAGCCAATCAGTCAGCCAGTTGGTAAGTCAGTAAGACAGTCAGTTAGTCTGCTGGTCACTCAAATCAATTGGTCAGTGATTCAATGAGTCGGTCAGCCAGTCAGGCAAGCATGCCGTCAGTCAGCCAGCCAGCCAATCAGTCAGTCAGTTAGGCGACAACCATGTCAATTCACTTTCATAGCCAGTCTGTCACTTTCAATAAATATGGCAGTAAATAAGGTGAATCATCAAGTCCATGGCTTGGTTAATCTAGCTTGATAAAGTTGATTTCTATCAACTGTGAACTTTTTGTCAGCCTTCTTCCCGTTAATAAACCGCTAACAACGTAGTAACTAGCTTGGGTGTCCTTAGGTTTCCGAGGCGTCTTCAAAAATGGTGTCTTGGGGAACAGTGAGCTTTGACACTGACAACAGCGACTCAGGAGTTGGGAGCGGAATACTGGAAAAGGAATTCAGACCAAACATAGACGCAAGCGAGAAACTGGTTACTGTGAAAATTGCGGTTGGACTCTGGGGTAGGTGAATCCAGATACCTAAAGTAGTTCGATAAAAATTCTCACCCCCCCCCCAAAAAAAATTTTTTTCTTGAAAAGAAATGCCAACATATGATTGTAGTATTCATTGTTTTCCTTTAGGACAACTTTTACCTCTTGATTTTGAGATCTAAGGGGGCCAGGATGAGAAGTCAATAGACGGAAATACGGGAATCTTCATTAAGGCGATAAAGGAAGGCAGCTCTTTATTGAAAGACGTCAAAGTCGAAGATCAAATTGTTAAGGTGAGTTGCGCTTTGGTTTGGGACCATAGCTCACTGGTGTGATCGCATCCCAACTTTTAATTAACCACTTTGCCGTGAGAGGTCGGGCTCCTTAATAGCTTCGTTTGACTGTGAAGGTCACCTGCCGGTCAAGAGTCATTTATGAGCATAATAATAGCGAAGGTAGCAGACAATGGCGCACATTTTAGGTTTACTAGATCTTGTATTGTCCTCTCAATACAGGAAACCTCTTCACTGCTTTGTACATCTTAGTTATTCATAACTATCATAGCTTCACATTTTTCTAACATTTTCTTGGTCGTCTAAACCAGAAAATTGTTATTTCGAGATTTTATTTAATTTAGTTCTCTGCCCGGCTAAATCTATGTTGCAATCCATAGGTTAACGGAACTGACGTCACAAATGTTCCTCAGCATGTTTTCTTCAACTTATTACGAGGCGCTGACAAAGTAGCAAAGATACACATCGCCAAAACCTCCGACGCAAAGGTTGGTGGTTATTCTGTATAAAAAAAAAGGGGAGTAGTATTGGTGCAGGTTGAGAGTGCTTGTCTTGTCTTCCAGATCGCTGTGGTCTGGGTTCGATTCTTGGACTGGGAATCACTAGTAGGTCAAGTTTGTTTTGGTTTATACCCTTGCTTCCAGATCCGTCGGTTGTCGTTCTGTACAATTCCGGGAGAGCTGTTTAGATATGTTTAGTTACCTTTTTAAAAACTTTTAAAATAAATTGACTTATTCATTATCTATTGCTTTTGGTCAGGATGATACAGAAATTCGGGTTTTCGAAGATGAGGAAACTGGGGAGAACGAACAGATTATAGAAATTTCAACTGGTCCTAAAGGTAATGAAAAGGTACTTTTTTAGGACTAACTATGATTATCTCAGCATTTTAAACGAGACGACGTGATCTACTTTTTTCCCAATTGAAAAAATCTATCTTGCAGCTAATTAACGTATTATGTGCTTCATACCAGTGGGTGTAAAATAATGAGTTCCGTATGCCATGAAACTTTTGCGATACGACATGATTAGAAATCAGGCAGTTCGCCTGTTTTTACCTGTGTTCGCTCTTGCTTTTGATGATGTTAATCTTTATTCTTATTGGTTGTTATGATTACTTCAGTTTTTTTTGTTTTTCGGCACCCAAGTAAACCTGCTTTGTTTCCGGAGGTAACCTGATTTCTTTCAGAGTATTGGCTCTCCTTCTAGACGGGATACTACTCGGAGTAGTAATGGCATTACAAGTAACCCCCTACCCTACCCCTATGATTATCTGTAATACTTTTGGGTGAACATCAGTTGGAGTATTGTTTGTAAAAAGGGCCTTGTCAAGGCACACAACCAGCACACTAGCACACGACTAGCTAAACTTTAGATTCGGAGTAGACTGCATTCATAACCAGGCCGCTGCATATCCTGGAACGTTGCTAGAGAATCAGAGTTATAATATTGAACATTCTGTTCCAGGACAGATTGGTAAACTTGGATTGAAGATCAATGGTGGGCGAGATAGACCGGTGGTACCTGGAGACCCGGGGATTTTCATAACCGCAGTCAAAAGAGGAAGTTTATTGCAAAAAGTCATTGGCCCAGGAGACAAAATACTTAAGGTTAGTCACTTTGAAAAGTGAAATGTAAGTTTTTTGCGATTTTCAATAAGACTAAAATACACTGAGAATTCGTTTCACCCTGTCGTTAGACGCTTTAGAAGGTTCTAAAGGTCATGATCTAATGCTCAACTGTGATTGGAAGATTTCAATTTTTTTGTCAGTGTTTCTACCTCTGCCTTTAGATCAGATTCTGAGCGAAAGGAGCCGAATTACGTTTGTAGGATTAGACTCAACCTCCCTACGAAGAACAGCGGCTTAATATAACACCATGAATTTCCTCCAATTGTACGTAAGGAATTCCATTTATGCTTGTTTTTTTTTTTTAATAGATTGATGGTACAAATGTTATAAACGTTCCATTAAGATTTGCTTTCGATCACATCAAAGCAGCAGACAGACGAGTGAGGCTACACATCCAAAAAGCAGACACCAGTGAGGTATGCTTGCGTTAAAAATAAATTTCCGGAGGGTTGTACTTCCTAGCAATTTGGTATAAGAGATGTGCCGCTGGATGGGGTTGCATTTTTCACGACTGGATTGACTATAATAAGTTGTATTTTTAATAGTTACTAGAAAGGGGTCGCACATCGGGATTTTGGGGTAACAAATAGTGTTCTATATTCAGTTTAACAAATGTATCAATTTGTTTGAAGCTGACCTTCTTCAAAGGTCTTTTAAAGGTAGATACATTAATAGAAATGAAAGTGACTAAGTTGGGATCGCGAAAATTACCTTTTCCCAAAAGCGACCGTCAAAGATGCTTCTATAATTGGTCACAGAATAGACTATAATGGGTTAGGGGGTCTGAGGAGGCCAGCAGCACACAAGCAGCAAAAAGTGACCCAAGTATCCCTCCCCCTCCTGGAAATAAAAGATCACTCCTATAACACTAGTGTTCTTGATTCCTCCTCAGCGAAATCAATGGTTGTTTTTCTTTTTTATCCTGTTGATGTTTAGCTTGAAATTTATAGAGTGTTGTAAGCTGTCGTGGTGATGACCAACTTACTTTATACACCCTAGTATCAAATGTATATTCTCCATACTGTGCTCTATACATTTCCCAAGACGCTGATATGGAGAATTTGTTTAACAATCAAGAGCTCCCTAAGTTGGCGATCATTCTCTTTATTTCCGTATTTATTTAACGCAATGAACTGCGTATTCTATATTAAACTAGGGTTATAGTCAGTTCACCATGCATATCACACCTCATATCTCACGCTTCACACTTCCGTCGGCACCCCTCATGATCACACTTCACCTTGCCGGTGCAATGACAATCTTGAAGCAGGGATAGCGCACTGACCAGTAGAAACGCTTGCCACTCTCCACCGCAAACAATCTGTATGATTCACTTCACTGCTAAGTGAATCAGCTGGTAAGAAGGCACTGAAATCACTCAAATAACCATATACGATGATTTAAAACGTATTATCACATTGCAGCATGACATTTCAGAAAGAAAACGAAAGAGTTTCGCTCGGCAGGCCGCGAGGTCTTTTTCTGACGAGCAGTTGCAAGGTTGGTGACTGTATCATCTCGAATCCTTAAAAATTTATCGCCTCAGTCTTGGCTATCTTATTAAAGGCAGTTTTCTTCCTTTGCAGAATACAAGACAGCATTTTCAGTGTACGACAGAACAGGGTCGGGTAAAATATCCATGAAACGAGTCATGGAACTATGTCGCTCGCTTGGTTATAATCTCACTTCTATTGACAGGGACGTCATCACTACAGAATATAGCTTAGTAGGTAAGACTTTCATGCCAGGCCTTGATAATTAGTATAGGGAGTGGCTGTCATGCAATAAGGTCAAGTGAGCGGATAAACCAAGAAGACCATCGTGCATGAGCTTTTCCCCATTTCTGTGGCAGAAAGGCTCCGAAAATTTCGCTACCCCTCCCTAGATGCAGATGGTGTGTTCGTCCATTGCAGATCCCCTCACCCAACACTGCGTCGGAGTTCCTAAATAAATATCATCAGATCGAGAGATGTACTCGCCTCGTACAGTGCAATGGCAAGGGCGTAAACTTCGACCTCTCAACTTCCCACTCGTTATTTATGGCCCGATACCCCCAATATTCTTATGATCCCCCTCATTGGTACTTAATTTGAGGTCAATTTTCTATAGCGCCCTCCCCACCCCTGCCCCCCATCCTATGTAGGCGAAGACTGATTCCCACTCTGTTCCCCCTTAACACCATGTGATCAACCAAAACTCATCCGACCCCTCCCTAGTTGATGAATGTATATATGATGACTGGTCCCTGGGTTCAGCGCTCAACCAACTCATCAATTACTGAATGCTTGTCACGCAATACTCAAAATATAACATCCAAAATCTCGTTTCTTTTCTTGCAGGTGACGGAAAATTTTCTTTCCTGGATTTCATTGAAATGATAACCAAAATCAGCTCTCTTCATCGAAGCGACTCAGATCTGACGAATGCGTTTGAAGTGTTCGACCGCGAGGAGAAAGGTTTTTTCAGACTACCCGAGCTCCAAGACGCTTTAAAAAAAATGCCGGGTTCAGAGGGGTTGACAGAGGATGAACTTGCTGACATTCTTCAGTTAGCAGATCCCGACGGTGATGGAAATGTTAGCTTTGAAGGTTAGTGAGAGGAGGGTGGAGAATCAGAAAACTATTCATTTTTTAACCCTGAAGGTTTTGCCCTTTTTCTTTCTTTTTTTTTCTCTTGATGTACCCCTTCACATCTTGCCTCTCTTCTTTCCCCACCACTTCTCTATACTTCTCTCTTCTTCTCCCTTCCTCCCCACCACCTCTCTCTCCTTCCTCTTTTTCTGTCCCTTCAACTCTTCTATCTCCTCCTTCAGTTTCAAATCTTGTCCTTCACACAGGTGCGCACTACGTGGGCACCTGTGTCTTTTTCTTATCTTCTTTCTCCTGCTCTACCTGTGTATCCTCCTCCTCTTTGCTTTGCCTTCTCCTTCTTCTTTATCCTCCTGCTACTTTTCGTCTACCTCCTATTCCTCTTCATCTTTCTCCTTATGCTCCTTAACATGTACATCCTCTTATTCTTCCATTATCATTTCTCCGGCTCTCTCTCTTTTAGTCTATAATCAGCTTGTTACAAATTAAAGCGAACCTGATCATGTGTAACGTTACTCGTTGCCTGACAAATAGGGAGGAGAACTTGGCCGTATAAATGCAATGACTACTACAACAATAGTGACAGTGTCAACTTGTAATAGCATGGTAAAGCATTCTTTTTTTCTTCTTTCCCCAGCATTCCGAAATCTCATGATGCCTCTCTTCCAACAAAGTTAACTCAGAAAATTTCTATGCTGAATTGTCACGAGACAACTACGGCCAACGATGAAATACTGAAAAGGATACGCTGAGGACAGGCATTAAATTAAAATCACTTTCAAGGACAGAATGATATGCTTCACGCCTTGGAAAATCATGCATTTGGATTATGAATGCAGCCAATGTTGGCAGGAAATAGTTCACTTATATGAAGTAAATCGGCGCAAAATTTCGTAAATTTATTGCAAAATGTTATAGGGACAATATCTGGATGAAATTCTGAAGATAAACACAGCATAGTATAGGGCATATATTTACTTTTGGTGAAAGTTTCGTGTTTAAACGAAAAACGAGCAGCTGTAGATTATATGCAGGGAAGTATGTTATTTGACAAGGTAAAGGAGGAATATCTTCATGCGTCCTTTGAAGAGAAATGGATTATTTTTAGATTTATTTTATTTTAATGAAGTAATCGGTTATCCCCGCTAAACAGCTTTTAAGTGTTTTCTTCCTTTTGTAACTTCATATAAACGTCCCGTCTCGTCCTATACAGGATATCGACGGCTACTTACATGCATTTTCACCGAAAAAAAATGCCTCTTGATTGTAATACGGTCACGCCTTGATCTTAATTAAAAGAAATTATACATGATCATGAGACTTTAAAATTTCGTTCCCTTAGCATTTAAATTCACGAAGACAAATTATGATGTGTGATGCATTGTTATTAAAAAACGTTAGGATCCCATTACCCATTATAGGCTTCTGAAAACGTATGATAACTTTACTGGGTCAGTCTTTTCTGGGGAGATATGTTTAACAATGTACTCAAAAATCCTTCTGTCCTGCCCTTCGCCCCGCTCTGCCAACGGAGTCGTGCTTCATTAGATGATGTTAATCGTGAGGAAGTATATATACTACTGCAGTAACCTTTTCTATAGCTAGACATTGTAATAACACTTTGTAATAACACTTGTCGCTGTTTATTTGACGGTCATCGCGCTTGGTAATAAAATACTGAAGTTGTCACATTTTGTAACAACACCTGTTACACTTGATAATCACTTGGAATGGATTGTCGTAGGGCACTTAAAACCAATGCTATGCGACAGCTTTTTCAAGTTATTACAAAGTACGACAATTGTAATTAAAAAAAAAATATGACAACTTCATTACAAAGTATGACGAGTACCTGAAAAGAGACGCTTATTATAGAGCGCGCCAGAACAGATTATATACTAGTTCTACTTCATCACGACGATACGTCGAAGTTTATTCTGTGCTAGTATAGTGAGTGAATGTGTTACTCTTTGATCTAGTTTGTTTGTTTATTTTTCCCTTATCTTTCGTTTCTTTATGATAATTTTCATCTGTGTAAACATTCCTTTTTTAATGTTCGTTGTCGGGAAGGGAAGAAGGAAACAACTTCGAGCCATATGGTGAGTCTGAAGTCGTTTTATTTCATTTGGTCGGTTTCGTTTAAAGAATTTGGTATTACTATGCCTTCTTCTTGAGCTTCATGGTGCTAATGTCCCAAAATATGTTTTATGGAATTTTATGAGAGGAGAAATAAGCAAATATGTTTGAAATGAATGAGATAATAAAGCAAGAGATGTTAGATGTTCTGAGAATAAAATGCACATGACAACTTGTGGACGGTATTTGAGATTTATCAGGAACTACAGAGGCGTTCTGACCTGTAACTATTTCTTCACGGAGAAGACGAAGATCGTGTTATTCTCTTGTTTCAAATGTCTCTTAATCAATTTTGGTTTACAATTCTATTCAGCGCTCTTAGTTATCGTTTGAGTTTGACGTAACAGCATCTACTGTCAGTAGAACTCAAACATGTTCTGGGCCTGGTCAGACCAACATGTTAAATCAAACCTTGTGTTCATCGCCTTGAGGTATGAACGAGGGTAATCATGAAAACGCACGGGAGAGAGTTTATTCCAAGGGTGTTAATCTCTTGTCAATATACGTGTTTTAAATCATTAGAATATATACATCTGCTACTGGTATCTGTACATAGGAAGTAAGTAGATCATTTGAAAATAACAGCCGTAGAGAAAGACGTTGAACAT